GGAGGGAGATGGGGAATGGCCTGTCAGCCAGGTAGTCATAACATACACAACATTTATCAATTAAGTTCACTGTCTTATTCTAAACAACTACAATAGTATTATCAAAGGTCACTAATCACAAATCACCATAAGTATAATAAAAATTTAAAAGTTTAAAATGATTGTGCAAATTATCAAAATGTGACACAGAGTCTTGAAGGGAGCAAATGCTGTTGGAAAAATGGCACTGATAGACTTGCTCAATGCAGGGTTGCCACAAACCTTCAATTCATAAAAAATCTAATGTTTCTGAAGCACATAAAGTGAAGTGTAATAAAATGAGGAATGCCTGTAATATACATTTTTCTATAAAAACTCATAATTATATTATATATAGATACACATATAAGTATACATATATACGTATACACAGATATGTATACTGGGGGTGCCAAAAGATGTGTACACATGACATTATATTCATCTTTCGTTATCATTATATACTGAGTATTACAATTTTAATACAGTTTTTTGTTTCTTAAAATGTGTATACATTTTTTTGGCACCCTGTGTGTGTGTGTGTGTGTGTGTGTGTGTGTGTGTGTGTGTGTGGAGATGGGCTCTACAATTGAAAGGATTGAGCTTGAGTCCAAGTCCTACTCCTTATTACCTATGAGAATAGATGATCCTTAAGGCACTATTTCCTAACCTGTAAAATGGAAGTTAATCTTGTTATGAAACTTAAATGTGATGATGTAAATGCTTTATAAATGTTCAAATTTTTTATTGAATGTGCTAAATATTGAGGGTGCTAAATATTTAGTTACAAGAATGATTAAAGTGAACGGGTTTAAATGGAAGAGAATAGTAAGGCTTTTTCAATGAAGCAAGTCTTACAGTAAATTTGAGGCAGAAAAAATGGTGATCAGTGGGGAAAAAAGCGGGATGGGGAATCCCTCGTGCATTGTTTCAGAACTGGGCCAGGTAAAGTCCATAGATTTACTTGACTGTAGTAAGGCCCCTGAGACCCTGTGTGTTAACCAGGCAGTTATTAAGGCACAGTTGGTGGTGGACATTAAACTCCGTGATTAGGAGCTTTAATATGATCTCAAAGGTGATTAAGCCCCACTGCTGGGCTCTCGGAGGGGGTATTATCTGAGGTCAGCAAAGCACTCTGAGTGCTAGCTTCGGCCTAATTTGAAGCTAAAGAACAGCAGCAGATTAAGGAGAATAAACAAACCAAAAAAATAGCCCTTAATCCTCTATGTTTTGCCACTTCCTAAAATGACCTTTTAAAGTGTTTAGTGTCTGAATTCAGGTCACATCATCAGTACAACCATTCAGAGAATAGTGATTGCTTTCCTGCCTATGCACATCTTTGAAAAGTGATGTATATTATTAATAAGTGTCATTTAAACCATCATCAGCATGGTACAGTGGAAAGGGTGCTGGGCTAGCATAGTCTGACCATCTGTTTGAGTTCTAACTCTGAGGTTGACTGGAAATTGAAGGAGAAACCAAATAAAGGAGTTAAGTTGCAGGTGACATAATCACAGGTTTTTGTGCATGTGCTCCAGGTGTCTGTAGTACACCTGTGTTGTAAAAGGCACCATGCTAAGTGGGACTATAAATGTGAATGGAATATATATATAATATATAATATATATATATATATATATGCCTTATTCTCAGAAGCTTATTGATTAATGAAAAGAAGATGCATACTCGTATACATAATCGTGATGATGGTGATCATGATGAAGGACACACATAAAAGCAAGTGAGAGGTAGTAGAAAAGTAATGCCCCCCCAAAAAAGATAAATAATATTGGATCTAGATGGACAGAACATTTCCTGTACCCTAGACACTAATTATTTTCTTCATTAATCAGTTTGAATCTCCATTAACATATTATAAGCAGTAATTAAGGTTAGAGAATCTTTAGAGTATAAACTTAGAGGAATATACCACATATGATTGTGTATAGAACCATAAAAAATTTTTTTGAGCGGTCTCAGAGAATATCTACTTCAATCCTTTAATTTCATGGATTAGGAAACTGAGATCAAAGAGAAAAATGATTGCATGTAAAAAGCAGAACCTAGACAGAACTCAGTTTTCCTAATTCTTAATTCAGTGGTCATTTATCACGTTGGGTTTGGAAAGATTTTTATAAAGGATATTTACAGGAAGTGTAATCATTCAATGTTTTGTTACTTTAAGAAAGTGGTAGCACTTTGATGCTATTATATTAAAAGGCTGAGTCAGACATTTCTGGATTTTTGTTCTTGTTTACTTGAAAACTTTATAAAAATTAAAGTTAAAAAATTACATGCTCTTTTTTCTTTTTTAGAAATTTGCAGTGGATGTATTTTTGTCTCCAATAAATTTACAAGTTTCTAATTTTAGTCATTTAGTTTAAAATTTTTGGTCATTTTATTTTTAATTTTGCTTAATTAAAATTTTGATATGTGAAGCATGTGGGAACATGAAAAACAATGTAACTGTAGAGTACATGTGTAATTGGCATAAAAAACATGGACAAGAAACAAAATATTTGGAATCAATATCCAAAAAACTATTCAGTAAATCTTAACTGATTTAGTAGGTAATATTGCAACAGTATTGAATAATTGGCAATTTAATTCTGTCAATAGAGCTGAATAATCACATTTAAAATAAGTAAGGAAATAACACAGACTAGGTAAAAGGAGGTATGCATTACTGAGATGAAGGATGTTTCATTAGGACATGAGGCTGTTGTTTCTCAGAGTGTGGTGTGAAGATTCCCAGCTTCAGAAGCACTCCGATCCTGTGAAACATGCAGATTCCTGAGCCATTCCTTTAATTTACCAAATCAGAATCTCTAGAGTGTGACATGCCCTCCAGGTGGTCTTGATGCACATTGGGGACATTTTTTAGGGGCAAGAATATGTTTCCAATGTGTAATAGTGTTATTGGTCATGAAGTGTGTAGTGACTTAAAATAGAAAGGAACAGGTAGAGTCAGAGTGCGGAAAATTTGTAAGTAGATAAACAGAAACCTACCTGGAGAATGGTCTCAACCCCTCACACTGCTGTGCTCAGCCCCTGGCTGGTTTGCGTCTTGTGCCCTTCACAGCAAGGCTGTTTTCAGTAGTCCAGCCCTTGGGTCCTTGGCATCTCTCATTATTCACAGGCTCTTGCTGAACTCAGCCATGTCGTGACTCAGAGTCCATAACCCCTATCTTTCCCCTTAGAGGTCACCTCTTGCCAGAGCCCTGGCCTCCATATCTACCTGCATCCTGGGATCTGTCCTCAGACTCAAGCTTAACTCTTTATTTTCTAAGGTATTTTACAAAGGTCCTATCATTGTTAAAACTGGAAAAAAAAAAAAAGCAAAATTTGAACAGAGATATATGTGTTACTAGTTTAGCTCTTGACTCTAGCTCTGCATGCAAATCAAAGTTATCACATTGGCCATTTGTTATTCATTACATTTAGCTAATTCAACCCAAGCACCTACATCATTGAGCAGATTTTACTATTTCCCCTGGGCTATTTTGTAAAAAATGGAACACTGGCCACAGTAAACTCAGAAATTTGGAGATAAGACATATGGCAATGATATATATTAAGTCTGAAAAATGTTCTTTAAATAATGATCCTAAAAGCAGCTAAATATATATATATATAACTGACCTATAACTATTATACTTAAGAAAAGATGTTCTAAGGTTGGAAGCTTTCTTGTTTCTTAAAGAGATATTTGATTTTCAGAATTTTTGTTAATGTACTTTATTATTGTTTTTATAAAAGTAAGTCAGAATGAAAAGCTAAGTTGTGCTTAATGTTTGTAACCCAAGGAGTGACATCTTCAGCTAATTAGGGTGCCCTATCCTGAGAGCTTTTGTAGGAGTAATACAATTAGAGAAATAAATGGGCTTCTGATGGAATCCGGCTAAAGTTGTCTGACCCTAGAGCAGTGCCACCACCGTGAAAGACAACACCCCTGTTGATGTCACAGGGAGATTAGACTTCTTAAGAACCATGAAGGGATCAAGCATTGTCCCCTGTCAAAATACACCTCTACTTCAAATAAACCATCTTGTCTTTTAGATCAGAAACTCTGCAAACTGAGGAAAAGCAACTGCAGAGGCAGCGTGTGTGGGCAAGACCCTAAGTCCCACCTGTGTACGTGTGCGGAAGGATATGCTTTAAGCCAGGACGGAAAGTACTGTGAAGGTAACGTGCAGTCGCTATCTGAAGCAAAGACAGCCACCTGAGCCAGCGACTGCTCTTCAGTGGGCCATCCGAGCCTCAGTGTGAAACCAACTCTCCTCCCCTCCACTTCTTTCCCCAGAAAAACGATTTTATTTTCCACCTGTTTTTAAAGCCTTTGTAATACTTTCAGGTCTTCTTTATATCTTGTGTTCCGAGATCAAGTGCTTTCAGGGGCTACTCAGGGTTGACATAAGGCAGGACTTTATTTCATGGACCTCTGTGGGTTTGACTGTGTGCAAAATGTCAGTATTTGCAAATGTTTTAGGGAAGTAGATTGTTAAAGCGTATGTGACTCCACATCTTATCCCATGAAGGTCTAGTGGGAATCTGGAGGAACTGTGAAGTATGCTGGTCATCTAGGGCTCCTCCTATTTGAGACTCCAGGCCAAATTAATGAGCCCAGGAGATAGATATTCCGGTCCTTTCTCCTGGGAGCGCCAGTGAACTACTGAAGAAAAGAATTCAATGGCTACAGTCATCCTCAGTGGAAGTAGTTAGGATGAGACTTCTGGTAAACCTGATGCCTACCTGTTAGGTATAGTCCCCTGCTTACCTGGGACTAGTTAGAGGGAGCCATCTCATAGAACTGACCTGGAAGACTGGGTGTCAGCGGGTCAGACGCTGCTGGGGCGTGTGCCCACATTCACGTGAGGGCTCCTGTGAGCATTGCAAGGCTGGAGAGTAGAACAGAGATGTCCTATCCTTACCAAGAACTTTCAATAGTCCTGCTTTACATGACTATATCTTTTCAGGGGAAATAGTACTACTTTTTCCCACGGGTAATTCTAGTATGCAAATCTATATTTGAAAGTATAAACTATGACAGAATAAAAATGGCTTTTGTGATCATTGAGCTGATTTCTTTCATCCTTTACTAGAGTAGCAAAAACAGTCTTTTCATGGTCAGGTACAGCAGATACAAGTGTGAGATACCTTACTTTGGGCAGATTTATTAGTGATACTACAATTTATTTTCAAAAATAACCATCTGACTGTGTTTTGCTGTTGTCATTGTGTAGATATCAACGAATGTGCCTTTTGGAATCATGGCTGTACTCTTGGGTGTGAAAACATCCCTGGATCCTATTATTGCACATGCCCCGTAGGATTTGTTCTGCTTCCTGGTGGGAAACGGTGTCACCGTAAGTCTCAAGTATTGGGTTGTCGGAAAAGTCATGACGCATTTTTTCTATGTTTTATGTCGCAAAAATGCGTCATGACTTTTCCAGCAACCCAATATTTATTGCGTTATTTCCTTCATTTTTACTAATGTTTCTAAAGTGTCTATGGTCTGGGTTGGTGGTCCTCAATCAGCAGTATGCATCAGAATTACTTTGGAATTTTCTTTTTTTTTGATTTTTAAAACATTAATGACTAGATTTTACCCCAAACCTGTTAAATCAAAACCTCCAAGGTTGGGGGGGAAAAAAAATATATATATATATATATATATATATATATATATATATATATATATCCTGTTTCTTTATCCATATTTTATTATATTTCATTATATATCACTGTAAGATAAGCATGTTAAAAACATAATCATGATATATTATTATGTCTAAAAAACTACCTGTAATTTCCCAATATCATCTAATATCCAGTCAGTTTTCAGGTATAATCACAATACCATTATCACATCTAAAAATAATAATTCCTTAATAACATCAAATATTTTGTCAGTTTTCAAATTATCTTTACCAGTTTTTAAAGTTTCTTTGTTTGAATAAGTATCCAGACAAGCTCCACGTGTTGTTAGGTTGACATACTTGTTTTATTCTTCAGATTCTCTATCCTCTTTTTTTTCCCCTTGCAAGTATTTGTTGAAGAAACCATTTTTTTTTTCCTGCAGAGTTTCTCACATTTTAGATTTTACTGATGGTACTTCTGTGATGTCCCTGTTCTTCTACAAACTTGTAGTTAGATCTAAAGGTTTGATCCAACTCTACTTTGACATTTTTGTCAAGAATACTTCATAGGTATGGTTATATTTCCATCAGGAGACACATTATAAACTTTTACTAATAGTCTTTCTTCCTTTTTTAGAAACAAGCTCTGGCCTATTATACTATTTTAAAAAATTGCATGATTAACTTTTCACCATCATGCTTTTAATGATATAGAATCACCTGGATCAATGATAGTCAGTGTGCATGTTCTGTAGTATTTTCTACACACTGTGCCCAATTCACTACTATTGCCATTGCCACTATGGATACCAGTTTGGGCCACCATGGCGTAGTAATCTATTTCAGATTGCATAAGGCTGGGCGATTGTTGGCAAGGATGACCAGCTTCCCTTTGCCATGTTTGATCATTTTCAGAGTCTGCTTGTACCCTCAACACTTACTTTTCACATTTTGTAATGAGTTGGAGCTTACAGTTGACACCAGCAACTTTTTTTGTCTTCTTTTCAGCTACCATCTTCCTTCCTTAGGTACAAGACTGCACCAACTAAACACACCCTGAAGCTGCCAAAATGGCTGGGGACAAGAAATAGCCCAGTAATCCCTTAGGGAATGGTTGTAGCAGCCATTAACAATCATTTCCTAGATTTATTATTTTATCAAGAGTTTCATATGATGATATCTAGTTCTAGTATTTCCTTTTAATTATTAATTGGGATACCTTTATAAAGAAAAGTTTCTCATTAACTATTTGTTACTTCAAGATACAATTCTTATAGTTAAGACAGCGTGTTAGATTTTTAACATTTTTTTTAAAGATTTTTTTTATTGGGAAATTGGGGGATGGGAACAGTGCTGGGGAATTGGGGGAAGGGGAACAGACAAGTTGCTGTCCTTTTGTTCTTCAGTCTAGTTGTGGAGGACGTTGCTTCACTGGCCCAAGTTGGCACCATCATTGCGCTCTTCCCAGGTGAGGCACATCAGTCGCCGGCTTCTGGATGGCCACTCACAGGGGCTGCTGGCCGCTCACGCTGGCTGCTGGCTACACACGGTAGCCCATGGCAACCCACTGCCACAGGGGCTACAGCCTACCAGTCCCTGGCAACTCACGACAGCCCAGCTCCAGGTTGAGCTGTTGTTCAGCATGTTAGCTGTAGAGGGCAGTGTCACTGGCCCTCATATGTGGGATCCAAACCGGGGCCCTCTGGTATCCCAAGCCAGTTCTTAACCATCGCGCCACTCGGCCGGTTCCTTAACATTTTTTTATGTTTCCACCCACAGCAGTTGTTATCCTTACTGACGAGCACACCATTTCCTTTTTGGCCAGTGGGAGCCTCTGCAAATGGGTTCCTGACCCCAGTAGTCTTTGATATTGGGTTGTTGGGAAAGTCATGACGTATTTTTTCTATGTTTTTTGTTGCAAAAATGCATCATGACTTTTCCGACAACCCAATAGTTTCCTTGTTACCTGTAGCACATATTTGCCAGGCTTGTCTTGTACATTTTATGTCCTAGGCCTGGAATTAGCAACCTGTCAAGGAGCATTTCTTCCTTTTGATGAGAAATTATATTACAAAGCATAATCTGTTCCTAAGTAGTCATTGTTTCTAGGCCTTTTGGGGCATAAGATCTAGGAATACACTATTGAAAAAAGAAGTACATTATGAGTTTACATGGATATTCTCAACTCAAATTTAGGATTACATTCTCAGATACCTTCTTATCAAATCTGCTACTAGTATAGCTAAGCAGAAAGGAAAAACCTAAGTAGAAATGTATATTGTGTAGTGTTGCTTCAGAGATGATGGAGAATAAGTCAGTTTGGCTGTCATATGTGCTTATGAAATAAAGCACATAAAAATGGATGGGTGGTAATGAAGTGCTTGGAAATTACTATTACCTTTGTGCCTGTCTATGGGACTTGACCTTTTTCTAAAACCTTGTGGTTTACCTGTTGGCAAATATATTCAAGTGCACAGTGTTAATGTGTTATGGAGTCCACTATGTGCCAACCACACACATACAATCTTACTTGATTGCCAAAACTTCTAGAACTTCTATGGTATATATTTTAACCTTTGATTTACTTGGGATTTATTTTGGCATATGGTATAGGTTAGGAATTTAACTTTTGCCCCATCCTTATTCAGTTATTTCTCAGCCATTTATTAAATCATTTTTCACATGCTCAATGATTAAAATACTTTAATCACACACTATATTCTTTCGTGCATATGAGTCTTTTCTAAAATAAGCTTTCTGTATGGTTCTATCCTCTTCTCTGTCTATTCCCTCACTTGTTACCCACTGTTTTAATTATTGTACCTTTATGATACATTTTGATATTGGTTAAGAGTCTCTCATTCTCTACCTACACCTAATCACGTAATACAATCTTTTTAATTTTCCCTACACATGCAATCAGTTTTCCAGATGAACCTGAGAATCATTTGCCCAAGTTCCATTTAAAATATTTTGATGACTAATAACTTTAAAAATATTAGTCAATATAAAAGAAACTTGGGCCGGCCGAGTGGCGCGATGGTTAAGAACTGGCTTGGGACGCCAGAGAGTCCCGGTTCGGATCCCACATATGAGGGCCAGTGACACTGCCCTCTACAGCTAAGATGCTGAACAACAGCTCAACCTGGAGCTGGGCTGCCATGAGTCGCCGGCGACCGTGTAGGCTGTAGCCCCTGTGGCAGTGGGTTGCCATGGGCTACCGTGTGTAGCCAGCAGCCGCAGTGAGCGGCCGTCCAGAAGCCAGCGACTGATCTGGCTCACCCGGGAAGAAAGCAATGATGGTGCCAACTTGGGCCAGTGAAGCAACGTCCTCCACAACTAGACTGAAGAACAAAGGGACAGCAACTTTTCTGTTCCCCTTCCCCCAATTCCCCAGCACTGTTCCCATCCCCCCAATTCCTCAATAAAAAATCTTTAAAAAAAAAAAAAGAAACTTAGTAGAAACTAGAGTCATTTTTCAAAATCAGAGTATTGCTTTAATTTTTTTAGATTTGAATTGTTTTTTCTTTTTTTTAACATCTCTGTTACCACAGCAATTCATAAATGTTTGATCTTTATTTAAGTTACTCTTTTCATGATAGTATTTTTTTATTAGCAACTGATTTTACTAAATTTCCATGAATCTGATTTAACACTAATCTTAATCTTATTCTTCATTAATTAGAATTAATTTCCTGCCCAATCAATGCATCTGAGTGCAGCCATGACTGTGTTCTGACTTCAGATGGTCCCATATGTTTCTGTCCTGAAGGCTCAGTGCTTGAGGCAGATGGAAAAACGTGTAGTGGTAAGTTTATTTACCTTTTGTTTGTTTGAAAATAATCATTTTCTAAGTGACACCTAAAACTTGCATCTTACTGACAAAAAAGAATAGATTTTCCAACATTACACAATGAAAGATATTTATGCAGCAGATTAACATAAATTTAAATAAGATTTTGGTGGTTTGTTTGGTTGTTTGTTTTTCGATAGCATAGTGTAGTGGTTATGAGTAAGGGCTTTGAAATTAGTCAGCCTGACAACCAGTTACTAGCAGTGTTATTTTGGACTAGTTACTTGCCCTGTCTTGATCTGTTTCCTCATTTGTAGAGATTGACAATACCTGCCTCCTGGATTTGTGACCAGGATTATAGAGGTGGTGGATGCAAAGAACTTAGCCTGTTGCTTGCACCTATAAATACCTCTCTACTTATATCTTCATAGACTTAAACATATAGAGTGCTGGATGTAATTCAAAATTAGCAGAAGAGTTACATGTGACTTTTTTTTTTAATAAAGAAAGCAAAAGAAATCAAGAGACCAAAAATGTGTGAGAGGAAAAAAATATACATGTTACTCATTAGGAAGTGTTACACCGAGCTGCCAAACTCATCAAAATGTATTTCAGAATCCAGCCAGTGCACTTGTCCTTGGACTCAGTGGTAGAACAAGAGAACATTGGGATGTGGAGGGTTACCATTCAAGATATCAGGCTATAGGGAAGAAGAGTAGAGTGACATTATGCTTCTAATTTCTGAAAAATAATCTTGATTGCAGCAGTGTGAATGATTGTGGAAATGATTTTAAAAATCAACATATATTTGGCTCACCTTAATATTTTGATGAAAAATTGTTATATTTCTGAATGACATAGCATCACTAACAAGCAATTGTTTTGTTTTTTGTTTTTCGATTTTGTTTTTTTTAAGATTTTATTGGGGAATAGGGGAAGGGGAACAGCCAAATTGTTGTCCTTCAGTCTTAGTTGTGGAGGGCGCAGCTAGCTAAGCTCCAAGTCCAGTCACCATTCAGCTGCCTGTTGGCAGCTCGCGGCTGCTCAGCTCAAGGTGCTGTGTTCAATCTTAGTTGCGGGTGGGCATAGCCCACCATCCCATGCTGGAGTTGAGCCAGCAACCTTGTTGTTAGGAGCATGTGCCCTCACCAGCTGAGCCATCCTGCCACCTGTTGGCAGCTCAGTGGCAGCTCAGCTCGGGCGCAGCTCACTGACCCATGTGGGAATCAAACCAGCAACGCTGTTGCTCAGAGCTCACGCTCTTAACCAACTGAGCCACTCTGCTGACCCAAGCAATTGTTTTTGTTTTTTTGTAGGCTGTTCATCACCTGATAATGGTGGATGTAGCCAGCTCTGCCTTCCTCTCAGCCCAGTGTCCTGGCAGTGTGATTGTCTTCCTGGGTATGACTTACAACTGGATAAAAAAAGCTGTGTAGCTTCAGGTTAGTGCTATGGTTGTTTAAAAGTATGTCTCTGCAAAAAGTTTATATGAAACAACATTTCAGTTAAAAGATAGAGCATTAAATTGCTCTTGGCTTCTGGGTAGAAAGTCTAATTTTTTATTTTTGGAAATGGAAAACAAATCACATTATAAATATAAATAATATAAATAATAATATAAATAATGTTTTTGAGGAACATTTAGAAGTTAATTAGTATTCAGCAAAGATTTGCTATAATATCAAATAGGTATTCTAGTATATGTAGAAGTCATGACCATGATAGACTTAAACAAGAGGAATTTAATAAATATTTGTTCATCGATTTGATTTTCAACTCTACAGTGAATGTAATAATAATAATACTTTGACAAATTCTGTCCTTTTCATGTCAAAATTTAATATAAAGTTGTACACTTAAACTATTCTTTTTAAGTCTTCTAATATTATATCTCTTGTGTCCTTCAACAGCTTTGGAAATCCTAGACTTATAGTGAATTGATTTAATCTCTCCTAAGGTTCATCATGCTTGTAACCTGGGATAACATAATGATGAGCCTGCAGAGCTTGCCTTAGCCAGAGTCCCGTATTCTTATCTCCTCGGGGCCTTAGTTAATATAGCATAATGTGAGCTCTGAAAATTCACAAGTGTCTTGTTATTAACTCAAACAGTCATGCTTCTTTTTCAGAAGTGCACAGGCCAGAGAAGTGTATCTATTTGGATATGAATTAATACAATCTGTTAATATGTTTCAATATGTGTGAATCAAGGAGATTACAGCACCAAAATTTGCATCATTTCATGGTGGTGTTGGTTATTTAATGCTGGCTCTTTCTATAAGTAATTTGCTTTTTAAAAGGAAGCACCTAGACAGAGAGGGATCCAGGGATAAAATCGTGGCAATATGTCACGTCCTGGAAGAGGAACTCTTCTTGTCCATCTTAACCTCTACTGGTGAGAAACTAAGAAAACAAGTACTGCAGAAATTAAGGAAGAGGGTGCAATGAAAGGGAAGGGTCAGGAGTACCTCTTGGGTTCCAAAACATATTTTAAATGAAACCATATTTGAATTTGGTTATCAGGACCACAACCGTTTTTGCTGTTTGCCAATTCTCAAGATATTCGACACATGCATTTTGATGGAACAGATTATGAAAGCCTGCTCAGCCAGCAAATGGGAACAGTTTTTGCCCTAGATCATGACCCTGTGGAAAATAAGGTATGGTTTTGTCACTTGAACAGATGTGGCTGTGCTTTAAGGACAGAGTAGAGGATTTTATCCTAGCAGATGACCTGGGCTGCTTGCAAATCCTCTGCTAAACCGAGATCCATTAACCACAGAAAAATTTAAATATAGACTTTGAAACATCATTTGATAAATGTTAAGGATTTTCTCTTATCATAACCCTGGTCCTTGATATAATTCAGCCATTTTATTGGTGACTATTGAGCAGGATGTTAAGTTTAGTTTCCTTTCTGGAGATGAGGATGGTTGCCTAGCACAGTGCTTTCCACATAGGAGAGGCCCATAATTAGGTTTTTGGTTATTTGCTGGGAGTTGGAGAATTGGGAGGTTGGGGGGGCCATAGGAAGTATGGATGAGTCATTTACATTTAATATATACCATTGAGAGGGACTCAATGACCTCTTGACCATGAAAATCAGGAAACGTAGGTTTATGGCTCATGTGGGAATGGCAGTCTAATGCATGACATTACTTACATAATAATCAATTTTTACATGACATTTTTGTATATAACTTAGAATTTCTATACTATCAACCTAATCAGCTGACCATATGGTCTTTAATTTCTTAGTTGTATTTGTGCTAAGTTAGAGTGTGCTTGAAATAATGTTACAGTGTCTTCTGGAGATTAATCACCCAATATTTATAAATTTACATAGTTATTAATCTCCTTCCATAATTATTTAGTTATTACTAGATTAATTCCTAGAATTTTAAACTTTGTGTTTTTGTTTCTTCCTGATTTGCAGCAGTCTGGCCAGTTTGTGAATACTCTCATCATTGATTATAATTTTATGTGCATACATGTCCTCACAGTTAAAATTCCACAAATGCTGTCATTAAATTGCCAGCTGACCCATAGCAGTTTTAACACTCTCATGAAACAGTTGTAGCTCTTTGATAGTCTGCACACTAGACTGAAAAAGAACTTTACACTTGCAAGGTATATTCTGTTGGACAATATCCAACTATGGATTCTTTAGCAAACATCTAGTTTAACGTCATCATTTTTACAGTTGAGAAAACTGAGGTTCAGTAACTAGGCCAAGGCAATCAAACAAATGAGTGGCAAAACTAGGAGGAGCCTGTGTCTCCTGACTTACAGTGAAGTGGAGTGCTGTGGACAGAACAGCAGAAGACACAGCCCAGCATGTAGTTCCCATTAAACTGCAAATCATTGCTCCCTTTTAGGCTATAGAATGCTAGGGTTCAAGAACAATGGCTTTGTACGGGCGGCCGGGTGGCTCAGTTGGTTAGAGCTCATGCTCTGAACAACAAGGTTGCCAGTTCGATCCCCGCATGGTCCACTTTGAGCTGGAAAAAAAAAAGAACTAAAAGAACAATGGCTTTGTTATCAACCAATAATCAAAGATTAATAAATGACCAGTAGCAATAGAACTATGTGCCAGGTGCAAGGCTAAGGAATTTTATATATAAAACTAATGTGCTTGGTATTATTATACCCATTTTACCAATGAAGAAACTGAGACTCTGAGACATTGACTAACTTGCTTAAGTTTATACGTATCTGGGAAGCAGCATGGTTGGTGTTCAGTTGCAGGTGTGTCTATGTTCAAAGCCAAGCTCTTAATGATTCCACTGTATGATACTCAACCTATTTGTATATATTCTATATTCATTAAAAAAAAAACCAGACAGAAATGCCTATGTTCTCTTTTGCAGGTATACTTTGCCCATACAACCCTGAAGTGGATAGAGAGAGCCAATATGGATGGTTCTCAGCGAGAAAGGCTTATCGAGGACGCAGTTGATGTGCCAGAAGGTCTTGCGATAGATTGGATTAACCGTAAACTCTATTGGACAGACAGAGGGTATGTTGCCTCCTTCAGTTTTTAGCCACATGGGATGCTAGTGACGGGGTAGGTACTACAGCTGGCTTCATCCTCCACTTTAAACACAGGAAAATACTGCAGGGGATCTGACTGGGATTGGAAGAAAGATGCCCTCAACGCTGTCCACACTCCCCACCACCCCTCCCCACCACCAAGCACGATGTTCCTCTTTTCATCAAGATTGGATCTTTATCCATAAGAGAATTTTGAGGACCAAAAAAGTAGCACGTGTTTTCATACTTCAGGCTGTTGTAATCAGAGAATGCAAAATCTATCTGAGTGCAGTCAAGCAGCATTCTTTGAGCATCTGCTATGGAAAGGGCACTCTCCCAGGGGACATAGGAGATACAAAGAAGTAAAGAGTGTTCCACCTTTTCAAGTGGCTCACAGTTTAGCCAGGAGATAGGCACATATACACAGGAAACACTAATACAAATGCTTGGTCTAAATTTCAGTACAAGAAATGTCTTAAATAATTGCCAAATGAAGAGTGTACACTCCCAGAGGGAGTGCTGGAAGAAGCTTCAGGGATCAACAGGCGCACACCCCTCATTTTACAGATGGAGAAACTAAGGCTCAGAAAGGCTAAGTTATTTATTCAAGGTTGCACAGCACAGCAACAAATCTTAGACTAGAATCTACATGCTGGCTCTCTGTTAAGTGACATGAAGGAGGCAGCGAGAGCTTCATGCTGGAGTTGTGAGATCACGAAGGTGATCTCACAGGAATGGTCTGCTTTCCCTTTGGTGAGAGACAGCAGAGCCAGAGAGAAGCTGTGCTGTTTCTGTCCTCTGGCACACTGCTCTTGGGGCTGCGGCCTAGTGCTGTGTGTGTGTGTGTGTGTGTGTGTGTGTGTGTGTGTGTGTCCTATGTGACCCCTAGGAATGGTGGGGGTGGGAGGAGGGTAGAGGGAGGAAGTGCCTGCGTCCCTCAGGCATGCTGTGAGAGCTCACTTTCCTGCTTCTGAGAGAGAGGAAGCTGACCAGGAGAACCTCACAGGGTAGCATCAGAGATGCTCTGTGCTAGAAGGATATTTTCCCAGTCACTTAAAGCCATAAAGTGAAATGGTAGCTAATTTGAACATCTGGTACCAATGCAACCCTATTAAATTAAAAGAAAGAAGAATTAATTTGGGTTTCACCTCCATGAAATTAGCAGCCCCATCAGGGAACAGGCCTATACTCACACGCTTGTGGGTAGGCTTTCTATGTCCCAGAAAATCTCTTTTGGTCTGGATAACCCATGGGAAACAAATGCGTTTTTTAAAATTAGTCAGACGTATGATGTGATGTAAGTTATAAAAAATATGGCACATTTGTATTCAGAGTGACTTTATTTTCATTCAATCATTTGTTCATTTGAGCATACCTTCATTCTTTTATTCTTCGGGTGTTTATTTATTGAATAACTGAAATGTTCCAGATACTGCACTAAGAGTTTTATGTCCATGATACCATTGAATCCCCAGAAAAGTAAGTTTTCTTATTCCCAACTTAAAGATTAAAAAGTTGAGACTCAAAGAGGTAAAATAGGGCCAGCCAAGTGGCTCAGTTGGTTAAGAGCTCGCTCAAGAGTGCGAGCTCTGAGCAACAGGGTTGCTGGTTTGATTCCCACATGGGCCCGAACTGAGCTGCTGCTGAGGGTTGCTGGTTTGATTCCTACATGGGCCCGAACTGAGCTGCTGCTGAGCTGCCAGCTCAGCTAAAAAAAAAAAGAAAAAAAAAAAAAAGAGGTAAAATAACTTTACCAAAGTCAAATAGCCAGCAAGCGGTGGCCCTGGAATTTGAACTCAACAATGACGATTTTTAAAGTTATGCTTTTAATAATCATCAATATGCACTGTCTCCCCCAACCAGAGTTGGTTAAAATGTGCCCAACCCAGAGTCATATAACAAATGAAAATCAACTTCGGTTGTAATAATGACAAAAATCATAATAACGGCCTCCTCTGTGTTAAACCTACTTAAAAGGACATTTAAAATGTCAGCTGTGCATAATAACAGAGCTTCTACATGGCTGTTCTCAGAAAAGTAAACCTTGATCAGGACGGCAGATGTCAGCCGCTGTCGACCCCTTTAAAGATGCTGGGTCTCCTCATATTTCCCACGTTTGCCCGGCACCTCTAATTTGAACAGTGTTTGATTAATAGCACCATGGGACCTACTGCCAAAGCGATGCCTGCAGGAGATAGGCAGGCACCGTATCCTGGAGAAGCAGACCACAGATTTCCCAGTTCACTGACTTCAGTAATAATAAGCCCTTCTTAAGTCCTCTTTCCTCTAAAGGCAGCTGCTAAAAGAAAAACCTTTAATTTGTCTGGAAATGAAAGGTTTCTGGTTTGAAAACCTTGATATTAGCTAGAAATTGGATTTAAATAACTGAGATTCCAAGCTTGTGATATTAGATTATATGGTAACTCTTAACCAATGAAAGAACCAGAGTGGGTGCTTTTAGTTTATATTGGCTGAGGAAAAGACAGATTTAAATTAACATCTAGCAGTAGGAAAGAAGCTAATTGATAATTCAACTGGCAATGCTATTATTTAGTACTAAGGAATCCTGATTCCTAAAGTCAATTGTTCAGTAAAAAAGAATCAAGAGGGTGAAAAATATATAAAATATCTGTTTGCTCATCCTTTTGAGATAACAAAAATGACAATGAGGTAAAAAATCACTCTTCTAGGGTTCTGGGTGGACAACTCTCACGTTGGAAGGATGGTGGCTCTTAGAGGACCCCAGTGATATCGGCACCAATTAGGCAGTGGATATAAAGAGAAACGTTCCACCAGATTAGGGGTTATGCTTGGACGCATGTGAGTCCAAATGTCTGTGCTCATCTTTGCTTTCTCGTTACTAACGCTGGAGTTTGAGATTTGCTTTCTGGCTAAATCAAATAGAAGTGTATTAGTGGGTAACCCCTGGGGGAGCTTTGAAAGTAAATTCCAGCAATCCTGCCTGAGACAGCTTCAGAGTCGGGAGTTTATGTTGGTCTTGATTCTTATCACCTCACTCTTGCTCAAAACAGTAACAATTTAGAGATGATGTAACAACAGGAACAGAACTGACCGTCACAAGCTTCAGAATTCCTTTCTTCCCACCAAGGGGACAGGAACAGTGATAGTTGTGTCTGAGTGAATTTGACAATGAGTTCAAAAATAACTTCCACCCAGTAGTACCCTTCTAAAGACCATTTCATGTGGGAATAAATGGTTTCAAATATTCACCACCCTGAGCTGGTAGTTTGTAAAGCATATTTGACCCAGCACAGGCCCAGACGCCATTTTGCCTTGACCTTCCTCCTGCTGTGCGGAGGGATTTGTAAAGCTCCTTCCCGACGCACTGGCAGGAAAGTACACTCTATTAAGCTGGCTGTAGGTTTCCTTCTGGGAGGAGAGAATGGTCCTGCCCCGTGTTTCTGGGCCCGCCTGTCTCATGCAGACATTGCCTGCAAGAACAAGGAGGTAAACCTTTACCGGATGTTCGCTGAGTAAATTAATGATAGCTGTATTTTCTAACGTGCAGCAGGGAAACACGGCCAGGAGGCAGCACGTGAAAACAATGTGGTAGGTCCCCACCAGATGTTTGTTGAATGTGTTAAATATAGTTACACTCTCTGGTGTGGGTAAGAGGACAGGGAGAACAGGCAGCCCATGGCGGAGAGGGGCTCTCCTCTTACTGCTTCTGTCTGTGGTCCTGCCTGCTTCAGAAGCTGCTCAGAAGCCAAGGTTACCTCACGGGCCAGGGATGGGGTGGGGGCATGACAGGATAGATTCTAGCGTTTGGCTGCGTCCACTTTTCACCTTTCTACGGTGACTGCCTTAGCTCAGTCACCATCATCTCTTGCCCACGTTGTCGTCTTCACACCAAAGCTACAGCAAGCTTTCTAAAGTGAGATTATGACAGTTCCTTGCTCTTTCAGGTCTCCTGGGCTTTGCATTTGCTGATTCCTCTGCTTGGGGTGTTCTTTTCCTCTCCCCCCATCCTCCTTCTTCCTCCCCTCCCCCTGACTTTCCTGCTGAACTATATATAATCATCTCTATAAAGATAGACACAGGGTCTTATGTCTCCAATGCTTAGACCAATCCCTGGCATACATAGGTATTTGCTCAGTAAAAATTTGTTTGATAATAAAGATTTGTTTCACAAATAAATGGAAACATTAGGAAACAAGAATTTTCTCCTCTGCCAGATTCCAAAAGGTTATTTTTTTATTTTTTATTTTTTTATCTTTTATAATTCCATTTGCTCCACTCCCACACTATACTCCACATCCTGTGACCATATATATATATATATATATATATATATATATATATATAT